TTTTTTTAAAAAATTCGGGCTGATCTCGTAGCTCACTCGGGAGAGTGTGGCACTGGCAGCGCAGCGGCGCTCTCGCCACGGGTTCAGATCCTATATAGGGATGGCCCCTGCGCTCACTGGCTGAGTGCAGGTGCAGACGACACCAAGCCAAGGGTTGCAATCCCCTTACCGGTAACAACAACAAAGAAAAGAATAGAAAAAATTCAAGCCAACAATCTCCAGCTTTTAATTGATGCATTTAGATCATTTATATTCAGAGTAAGTATTCATATAGGTGGATTTAGGTACCATTTTATTATTAGTTTTCTGTTAATTTTCTTTGTTCTCCCCTTTCCTGCCTTTTAGATTATTTGAATATTTCTTGCCATTCTATTTTAACTTATCTTTGGCTTTTTAATTATATCTCTTTGTATAACTCATATAGTTGCTTCTTTAGGGGTTATATACATATCTGACTTTTCTCAGTCTACATAAAGTTAATAGTTTACCATTTCAAGTGAGGTATGTAAACTTTACAACGATATAAATCCCTTTACTCTTCACCCTTTATGCTGCAGCTGTCATGTTATTGAATCTAAATATATTTAAAACTACATCAGACGTCTTATAATTTTTGCTTTCAACAGTCATACGAAAATACGGATGTTACACAGATTTGCATGTAATCCTTTCATCAGAACCAGGCTAATCTTCTCTGTATAGTTCCAATTTTAGTATATGTGCTGCCAAAATGAACATTAAATATGTTTTTCAAGTGCTTTCCTGATAAATATGTGTTCAAAACCTGCACCAAGTTTGTGAAACTATGGGATATAATTAGAAGTATATTGTTTTTCTCTGGATAAAACTAGAATTGACTCTACCCAATATGCTTTGACATTAAAGGGTACAAAATAAAAATAAAGTATTTTATCTTGAGCCAAAGCATAATATGGAATTAAAAACTGGAAGTGGACACAGAAATAGTACCAAAGCAAACTTTTTTTTTCAATACGAAGGTTTGTAATATCAAAAGTATCAGTATCAGCAGGGATGTCCAAATCAGAGGTATTTTCTAGAAATTGTGATTAAAAGGGAACTGTCTCATTTTTAATAAGAAGTAGCTATTTGGAGAAGATAAAATGAAAATTAACCCTTCCAGGTTCGGGATTAAGGAAAAGGGGGTCATACCACACATTATTTAAATCATAGCAAAGGAAATGATCTAAAATGCATGGAAAACATTTTTTTATTAAAAAAAAAAATCTCAAAGGCATTTTATGCATATAATTTTATTCACTTCTACCACATTGCTATTAAAAATATTGTCCACACTTCAGTGCAGGAAAGCAATGAGTCTGTGCATTATGCAGTGAAGGCACCAGTCCCCCTCTATAACCTTGGTCCTTCCCTAGAGTATGTAGTCATTGGCTCGGAATGTACAACTGTGAAGGTGACTCTCTCAGGGCTTTGGTGATGTAAGCCTGAAACCATGGAGGAGAGGAGCAATTAAACTTCACCTTTCTTNAATGAGAAGGCAAAGGAAATAAAGTGAAGTTGACCAGATGCTGAGTGCAAAAGACTTAATAACTATTTTTAGAAGAAATGAAGAGTGGGAATGTATATTGGTACAATCACTTTAGAAAACCATATGTTTATCAAGAAAACCGTTCTCATATTCTGTGACTCAGCAATTCCACTCTTAAGTATACATCTAAGAGAAAGTATCCAGGGATTCATGCAAAGGATGTTTGATAGAATGCTCACAGCAGAAATATCCATGGTAGTCATTAACAGGAAACTATGCAAATGTTCATCAATAAAAGAATGGGTAGATAACTTGTGGCAATGAAAATAGATGATCTACAACTACACACAGCACAATGGATGAATCTCACGAGCACAGCGATGAGCAAAAGAAGCCAGACATCAAGATTCCGAGCAGAACTACCCTGGGTGGTTACCAGTCAGGGTAATGGTTACCCTGGTGGGGGACAGGGGTGAAGAGAGAGAAGTGGAGAGGAGAGAGCAGGAGGAGCTTCTGCGGGTGGAGCTAACCTTTCCTTCCTTCATCTGGTGCTACTTACACAGGTGGGTTCAGATGGTGAAAATTCATTGAACTGTACACCTAGAATATGAGCGGTTTTTCTATATATGTATCATACTTCAATAAAAACAAAAAGAAAAACTGAAATGAAATAAGAATAGGAAAAAAAGAGGGAAGAATAGAAAGCAAAAGAAAATGAAAGTAAGGGGAAGAAAAGAAGAAAACCCAGAAGGGTGAGAGACACGGATGCTGGGCTCCTGCGCACCTGAGCCGGTGGGCTCACACCTCCACCTTAGGCCACCCCGCCTGCCCCTCCGGGTGTCCTGCTCTGCTTGCTCAGCACGAGGAGGGCAAATGCCCTGTTTTCGGGGTCCCTTTCCCTGCTCCCGTTCCCCACCGCTCCTCCCTGCTCTGAACATCGCTAAGGCAGGAAGGGCTTTCCAAGTGGGCAACACGGGACGTGAAAGCCCTCTCCTCTCCTCCTCTCCTCTCTTGCCTCTTCCTCCTCCTCTTCCCCTTCTCCTTGACTCCCTCCTCTTTTAATGCCCCTCCCCCCCACGTCCTCTTGGTCTTGGTGGCTGTGCCTGAGCCAGCTCTGTCCGCGNTTTTCATCCATATTAAGACAGGGACTGTGTCTTTTTACCCCCCAAACAACGTATGCAGTGTGCACTAAGTTTGAGAGAAGCAGTTGGTAGAGTAGTTTGGAGCACAGGCTCAATCTGTCTGGGTTCAAATCCTGACTTCACCATCTCCCAGCTGGATGACTAGGAAATGGTCAGTTACTTATATTCTATGCCTCAGTTTCTCCACTTGTAAAAGTGGGATTATAGCACTATTTGTAAAGATTAAACAAGTTAAGACATGGACAGTGCTTAGCATTTTTGCCTGACACACAATAAGTACTGTAACTTATTTTTCTTATTAAGCAGTTAATTTTTTCTTATGAAGCTGTGAAACTAATACATATATTTATAAGTAAGGCAAGACAGAAAACAAACGGGATTAACTAATGAGAAGGCAAAGGAAATAAAGTGAAGTTGACCAGATGCTGAGTGCAAAAGACTTAATA